CGACCGCACCGCCACCGCCAAGACGTCAGCCAAGTTGTCGACGAGCACTGTGCCAGCGTGGACGCGCGAGGCCATCTCCCTCGATATGTCGAGGCGCAGCTGCTTCTTCTGCTCGGCGCTCGGGCTGTCGAGCTGGTGGTACGAGCTGAACCTCTTCAGCAAGAGGTACTCGAGGTCAGTCTTGTGGCCCGCCGCCGCGAGCTTCACCGCCTCCGCGGTGTCGGCGCGCAAAGAGAAGAACGTCGCAACCGTCTGAACGTCCAGGAGGTCCTGGTCGACGGGACGGGCCACGCGGGCGACCTGGCCCGAGGCCGCCATGCGGCCATGCGAACCATGCCACTGGCGCCTTCGGTGGACACCCCACGGGGCCACGATCCGCGTGAAGGGCGTGCCGAAATGGCCTGAGGCCGCAATGCGAACCCTGCAACTGGGGCCCCCGATTGAATTCCCATGGGGCCACGATCCTCGTGAGGAGTGTACTGACATGGGGTGGGGCTGCCATGCGAACACTGCCATTGAGGCATTCGGTGGAGCCCCCATGTGGGGGTCACGATCCTCGTAAAAGGTGTGCCGAACAGGCCCGAGGCCGCCATGCGAACCATGCCACTCGCGCCTTCGGTGGAGCTCCCTGTCGGGCCACGATGCTCGTGAGGGGGCGTGCCAAAATCGGGCTGGGCCGCCATGCGAACCCTGCCATCGGCGCCGTCAGTGGAGCGCCCCATGACACCACGATCCTCGTGAGGGGACTGCCGAAATGGCTCAATGCTGCCATGCGGACTCTGCCACAGGGGCATTCGGTGGAGCTCCCCATGGGGCCACGATCCCAGCGAAGGATGTGCCGAACGTGCCCGATGCCGCAGTGCGAACCCTGCCATCGGCGCTTTCAGTGGAGCTCCCCATAGGGCAACGATCATCATGTGGAGTGTGTCGACACGGTCCAAAGCCGCCATGCGAGCCCTGCCATCGGCGCCTTCGGTGGGGATCCCATGGGCCACGATCCCAATGAAGGGCGTGCGGAAACTGCCAGAGGCCGCCACGCGAACCTCGCCATCGGCGCCGTCGGCGGAGCCCCCACATGGAGCAACGATCCTCGTGAGGGGTGTGCCGAACTGGCCCGAGGCCGCCATGCGAACCCTGCAATCGGCGCCTTCGGTGAAGCCCCCCATGAGGCCACGATCCCCATGGTGGGCGTGCCGAACTGGCCCGAGGTCGCCATGCGAAACCTGCCACTGGCGCTTTCGATTGAGCTCCCATGGACCACGATCCTCGTGAGGTGTGTGCCGAAATGGCCCGAGGTCGCCATGCGAAACCTGCCATCGGCGCCGTCGGTGGAGCTCCCCATGAGGCCACCGTCCCCGTGAAGGTTGTGCCGATCTGGCCCGAGGCCGCCATGCGAACCCTGCAATCGGCGCATTCGGTGGAACCCCCCATGGGGCCACGATCTTGGCGACGGGTAGGCCGAACTGGCCCGATGCCGCCATTGAACCCTGCCACTGGTGGCATCGGTCGGGCCCATCAAAGAATAGGAAATTAACGCTGTGATGGGCGTGCGGACGCAGAGACCTTCGGAGATCCAGGGCAAGGACGGGGAGGAGGAAGAGGATGAAGGTGGACGGGGGGGGGGAAGGAGAGGATGAGATGAGAGGAACGCGGGGCACCGTCTCTTCAAACCGAGGACCCGACACCGCAAACAAGCTTCTGCCAGAAAGCAATAGGGAGAGGTGGGTAACGGGATGAGGGGGATCAAGGGTGGATGGCGGAAACGCTAGATATACCACTCTGCCCTGCACCAACCCCTGACGGAGCCCGATCGCCGCGGGGGTGCCCATCGAGAAGCAAGAACCGCTTGAAGTTCGAAGTCCAGCCCCCTCCGAAGTTCCACCTCCGAACGGCCTCGATGCCGCTGGGCAGACGGAACTTCGGAGGGGTCGACCTTCGAAGACTTGCGAATCATGGAAGAAAAGTCGCTACCCCGAAACCTGCCATCAGTCCCCCGCCCGCCCCTCGGCGGGGCCCGATGAGGGGGGGCAATGGCGGGGGCGGGGGCGACGTAGAGGGGGCGACGACGGGGAACGATGGGCGGGGCCACGACGGCGAAGAGGGTGAAGGAGGGAGGAGGGGAGGAAGAGCGGGAGGAGGAGATGGAGGACGGGGAAAGCAGGGCAGCGAAAAGGATGAGGAGCAAGGAGGAGAGAGGAAAGAGGAGGAGGAGAGAGGAAAGAAGAGGAGGGATGAGGGAAGAAGGAGGAAAGAGAAGGGAAGATGGGCCCATGTAGCCAGAGACCCAAGACGAGCCAACCCCAACCAACCGTTTGAGAACCGCGATCCTCCAGCAGCTTGTCGTGCCGCTCCTTGAAGGTCCTCCCGTCGAACTTGAAGAGCGTCTTCGTGGCGCACGTCAGGTAGTCCTGGAACGTGTAGCCACTCTTCAGGTCGCGGGTCCAGGGCTGGCCACCCTCGCCGCCGTATGCCATATCGGCAAAGGCCGCCACGCTCTTGCGCAGCTTCTCAGTTGACGCGTGCGCGATCTCCTGCGCCACGGCGTCCACGTGGCTGGCGAGAGCGGCCGTGAACGTGTCGATGAACTTCTTGACCAGGGACGCCGAAACCAACTGGGACTGGGCGAAGGCCTCATTCGCAGCGTCGGCCTGGATGTTGGCGGCGAGGCGCTGCACCGCTGCCAACTTCTCCCTCGCCTCCCCGATCGCCCAAGCCTCCGACGGACTACCCGCGAGCTGGCGGAACGCCTGGAAGTGCGCCGTCGCCGCCGCCGCCGCGCCGAGGATGTCCAGCAAGAAGGTCGCACCAGCGGCCGAGGGGCCCAGCATCTTGGCAAACGCCGCGGTGGCAGCATGAACCTGCCTGGAGAGGTCGTCTCACATACCAGCAGACGTAGAGACCAATACGCCTTTCACCAGGGCGTCTGCAACCAACACCAAAGTTTTCCCGTGAGGAGGGAGTAAGCCCGTCGAAGTGATGTCACCGATGACCCCCAGCTGCTTCATGAACGCCGTCGCGGCGATCTTGGCCCCGTTGGTCGTGAAGTCCAGCCCCGTGGTCGACGAATCCCTGTCCAAGTCGGCTTCGACGATGCGCTTGCACACTGCCAGGAAACTGTCACTCATGGTCGTCTGCTTCTTCAGGGCGATCGCGGCACGCATGTCCTCCTGCAACTTCTCCCAATCTGATGGCGTGTCCGTGCCGATCCCGATGATGCTGCCCACCACGCCCACGCACGTCTCCACGAGTTCGGTGTCCAAGCAGTCGGCGTCAGAGATGGAGCGAATGCACGCGGTCTTAGCTGTGTCCTCGATGGCAGTCTTGAGCTTCTCCTTCTGGTCAGGGGGGGCATCCGTGAACGCAGCCGCGCCAGCCTTGATGGCGCCTGTAATATGCTTCACGACCGCCCAGAGATCGCCAGAGTCCGCATCCATGTCATTGAGTAGCTTCTTGACGGTATCTGACCACTGCTTGCCTGTGCACACAATTGTTTGCGCCTCCTGCCACGAGGCCGCAGCAGCCGAATTTTTCGAAAGGAAGTCCGACAACATCGAAGATACTATTCCCAGCGAGCCGCCGCAGAGGATGGTGGCAATGTCCAAACCGTCAGCGTGCGAGGGCGCCCCGCTGGGATCCAATATACACATGAGCACTTTGATGCCCTCCTGCATGTCCATGAGATTGTCACCGTACATCTCGTCCTCAGCAAACTCATCCAACTCAACTGCGCTGCACTCCTCCAGCAGCTTGACGGTCCGAATGGCGTTGGCCGCGGTCTCATCGTTGACAGGGTCGAAGGCCAGCGCCGCGTGGTGGAGCGCCACGCTCCCGAACACATTGTCGAAAAACATCTTCTTCTTCTCCAGCGGTGAGCCGTCCAAGTGCATCAGCTCTGCGAATTTCAAGTCCGCCTCGCGCGGCGGCTGAATCAATCTGTTCATCTGGAGCATCTGGCTCATGTCATACTTCTGAGCATGCGAAATGATCTCGTCGCGTCTGCGAACAAACCTGCGAACATGAAACTTGATCTGAACATCTGATGGGAAGTCCTTGTCGCCGAGGCGCTTCGTGATGATGTCGACGGCGGTGAACAGTTTGCCGTCGTCCAGGTTGTTAAAGTAGTCGGGGGCTGAGGCGATGATCCGAGCATGCTCGCACGCGTCCAGGGCGGCGGTGAGCTCGTCCACGTCCTTCATGGCTGCTCTCTTTCTCATGCGGTCACGGCAAGCAGTAGCCTGACCTTCTTCGCGCCCGAGGTTGCCGTTCAGCATGACCTTGATGGGGTCGAGCTTCCACGTCCAATATACAGTGCTCTTCCGAAGTCCAAGTGGGGAAGCTTCATCTATGTCATCGCTCAATCGCATTTTCTTTCCTTTGCAAACGAGGTCCATGAACCAGAAGTCGGAACCATCAGCAGCGACCGAGCCAAGGGCGTTGGTGCCTGGCTTGCTCTTCTTGTCCGAGCTGATCTCCTGGGGATGGCATTGGAACCGCAAGCCGTCATCGAGTTCACTGCCAGGGGAAATCCCAATTAGCCTGGCGAAGAGCCCAGCCATATGCAGTAGTGAATACCCGAACTGTGAACATTGCCTTCGGTGGGCCTCCCTGTCGGGCCACGATCTTCGTGAGGAGTATTCCGAAATGAGGCGGTGCTGACATGTGAACGCTGCAACTGGGGCTTTCGGTGGAGCTCCCAATGTGGCCACGATCATCGCGAGGGGTATGCCGAGATGGCCAGAGGCCGCCATGCGAACTCTGCCACTGAGGCTTTCGGTGGGGCTTCGACTTCGATGAGGCCGCGGTCCTCGCGAGGGGATTGCCGAACTTGCTCGAGACCGCCATGCGAACTCTGCCACTGGCTCCTTCGGTGGAGCCCCCAGTGGGGCCACGATCCCCGCGGGGGGGGTGCCGAAATGGCCCGAGGCGGCCATGCGAACCCTGCCACTGGAACCCTCAGCGGAGCTCCCACGATGCCACGATCCTCGTGAGGTGCGTGCCGACATCTGGCTGGGCAGCCATGCGAACCCTGCCACTGGGGCATTCGGTTGAGCCCCCATTGGGGCCACGATCCTTGTGAGCGCGTGTGCCGAAACAGCCCGAGGCCGCCACGCGAACGCTGCCACTGGCGCCTTCGGTGGAGCTCCCATGGGGCAACGATCCTCGTGAGTGGTGGGCCGAACGTGCTCGATGCCGCCATGCGAACCCTGCCGCTGGGGCATCCGGTCGGGACCCCCATGGAGTCATGAAACGCTGTGCTGGGCGTGCCGAGACAGAGCCATTCGGAGAGCAATGGCAAGGCCGTGGAGGATGAGCAGGAAGGGAGAGGGTGGGAGGAAGAAACACAGGAGGATATGAGAGGAACGCGGGCGACGTCCCTTCAACACGAGGACTCAACACCGCAGGATGGTTGGGAAACATGTCGCCTGCGAGCTCGGGGCGCCCCTGCGAGGAGAAAAGGCGCCTCGGCCTGCTGCAGGCCGTGGCCGAGCAAAACGTTTACGCGGCACGACTTGGCGCCACATTGCGTTTGAAAACTAGGCTCGGGCATTCGCCGAATCTGACTGGCAACCGATGGTGGGATACGAATGGCGCAACGACACAAACCCTCCAATCACCCGAGGGCCACGGAGAGACTTTTTCGAACGGCCCCACCGCGAAACCTTGCTTTCAAACTTGCCAGGTGCATAGGCCCCAGGGGACACCTCCCAGACAACCTACAGATTGAGAACCTCATGTCCTTGAGGTTCTGCCCGAAGGTCGAGCCAACCACCATGCCGTCATCGCTCTCATCACCGCCGCTCGCAACAGACCCAGCCTCGGCACTGCCAAGCTCGAGCCCACCGAGATCCCTGGCCGCCTTGGCCTCCTCGACCTTCTTCTTGAGGTCCGCCATGGAGAACAAGTCGCCGCCAGAGAGGATGTGGCGGACCCCCGAGGGGTCTTTCCCCTTGGCTGCTTTCAGGGCCGAGCTGATTTGTTCCTCCATCACCGCGTGGTCCGAGTTCAAGAACACGTCATTCACGTCCACCTCGAGGAGACCGTACATCCTGAACCGCCTGTAGGGTTGTGTCTCGTCGCGCAGGCCGTACCCGCGCACGTATTCGTTGTTCTCGTTCATGGCCAGCAACGAGTGGACCCCAAGGTCCGATGGCTTGAACTCGCCAAAAGCGTCGTCCCAATCAGGCTTAGTGAGGAACAGGCCGTCGCGGTACACCATGATGCCAGTGCGCGTGCAGTGGGCGACCTGCGCCGGGTGCACGGCAGTGTGGTCGACCCTCTGGCCCGAGCGCTTCTGCGCAATGGCGGCGAGGATGCGCAAGGCAAGGTCGTCGCCCTTCTGGCAGACAGCCACGAAGTCATCCCAGCTGAGCCAGTAGAAATGCTCATTGTGCCAGACAACGCAAGCCTCGCAACGATCCCCAACAGGCTGTTGTTGCGGCATCGCCATGTCGCTCTTTTTCCCCTTCTGAACAGCGTAGCACGCCCACTTCGGCACGGAGCCAGTCTGGTCGTCAACCTGTACGTGACGTGCCCCACAAAACCACTCACAGAAGGTAACTCAAAAAGGGTGTATCGAACCTACAGCAAACACCAAGCGAAACACAAGACCCTACGCAGTTGTGAATACCACAACAATGAATTCCGTCTTCTGTGTGAACCTCGGTCGGGCCACGATCCTAGTGAGAGGTGTGCCTAAAATGAGCGAGGCGGCCATGCGAACCCTGTCGCTGAGGCCTTCGGTGGAGCTCCCTGTGGGGCCACGGTCCGTATGGGGGGTGTGTAGAAATTACCCGAGGCCGACGTGCGAACCCTGCCACTGGCGCCTCCGATGGGGCTCCCTGTCGGCCACGGTCGTCATGAGGGGTGCGCCGAAATCTGGTTGGGCCGCCATGCGAACTCTGCCGCTGAGGCTTTCGGTGGGGCTCGCCATGGGGCCACGATCATCGTGAAGGGTGTGTCGAGATGGCTCGAGGCCGCCATGGGAACGCTGCCACTGGCACCTTCGATGGAGATCCCATGGGGCCACGATGCTCGCGAGGTGTGTGCCGAAATGGCCCGAGGCCGCCATGCGAACCATGCCACTAGGGCATTCGGTGGAATCACATTGGGGCCACGATCCTCGTGAGGGTGTGTGTCGGAATTGCCTGACGCCGCCATGCGAACCCTGCTTTGGTGTTCCTGATTTTTCTCTGGGCCGATCGGGCATTCGATTAGTGATTGCCTTCGTCCTGCTCTTCCTCATCCGCCTCCACCTCCTCCTCCTCCTCGGTGGGGCTCCCTGTGGTGCCGCTGTCATCGTGAAGGGTGTCTCGAGATGGATCGGGGCCGCCATGCGAACGCTGTTACTGGCGCATTCGGTGGAGCGCCCTTGGGGTCGCGATCCTCGTGAGGGGTGTGCCGAAATGGCCCGAAGCCGCCATGCGAACCCTGCCGCTGGCGCCTCCGACGGAGCCCCCATGGGGCCGCGATGCTAATGAAGGGCGCGCCGGAATAGCAAGAGGCCGCCATGCGAACACTGCCACTGGCGCCTTCGGTTGAGCCCACTGTCGGGCCACGGCCCTTCTGACAGGTGTGCCGACATGGCTCGAGGCCGTCGTGCGAACCCTGTCGCTGGGACCTTCGGTGGAGCTCCCATTGGGCAACCATTCTAGTGAGGGGTGTGCCGATGGCCCGAGGTGCCATGCGAACCGCCACTGGGGCGCCTTTCGGTGGAAAGCCATAAGGCACTGCACGCACTGGGCGTGCCGAAGTCGCCGAGGCAGAGACCTGCGGCGAACAAACGCAAGGGCGGGGAGGATAATGAGGAGGAGGGGGGAAGGGGAGGAGGAGGAAGCAGAGGAGGAGAGGAGAGGGACGCGGGGCGCAGTCTCTTCAAAACGAGGGCCCAACACGGCAGGATCGTCTGGGAAAAAACAGGAGGATGGAGACTTAGGCGAAGGAGGGCAAGGGGGGTGTGAGGAGGTGGTGATGGCATGTGGAGAGGGGGCAGCGTGTAGCTCAGAAGGCGGGGGAGGGATGGCGCAGAACAGGAAGGGGGCAAGAAGCGGAGGAACCAGGAGCGGCGTGGCCGCCAACAGCCCCTAGCGAGAAGTTGTGTAATCACTCCCCCACGGGCCCTGCCCTAGCAACCTCTGAATTCTACTCTGCCCAAGACAACACTAGATATCCCAATCAGCTCAGGGCGGTTGCGGGGAAGAACATCGCACGGGCCCGAGGGTTCCAGAAACGCATGCACCTAGATCGCTACCCCCAGCAACCCACCAGAGGACAATGGCAGCTGAGGCCGCGCTGTAGTTGCATGTGGATGTACATAGCTTCCATAGGGCGTGGCTGAACCCCGATGTCGATCCCCCGAGCCCGACATAGACGCGGTGACTGGACCCAACGCAGTGCTCACGGGAGCAAGAGTTACACTTTGATTGTGCACAGGCCTTGGTACGCGCACGGTTACTTTGTCGCGTTCGGTTGCTCAACAGGTCCGAATGCGACGCCGAGATTGCCCGACATACCGTCCCTAGAGGTGTACCGAAATGCTTCATAGAGGCAACGTGAAGACCACAATCGCTGCGCCGCCGTGCCAAGGCAGAGAACGTGGGGGAGATATCAGGACCACACGGGGAGTGCGCTACTCGAAGCAAGCCCTGTGGGTCTCAAGCCCCCCAGGCCGCTCCGAAAATGACCTCTCAGGGCCCCGCGCAAACCTGACCGTCGCCCAAGACGCTTCCCAATGCCCTCCACGAAGACCCCCAGACAGGCAACGACGACCACAACATGGGCCAGCCTGGCCCTGAATGCCCTCCTACTCCAACCCAGGACCTTGCAGTGACGCAGGCTACAGATGCCCCAGCACAGTATTGTTTGCATTCGTTGTCTATCGACGCAGGCGCCCCGAAGCATGCGCGACAGCCTGGGGAACGTGACAGACAACCCCGACGAGACGCTCCCCAGATGATCCACCAAGCCCAAATGGAACGCAATGTGGTCCCAATAAGTGGGCGACCTGCGCCGACCAAAACACGTCCAGGTCCTGAACGGGCAAGCCCAGCCCACCGCAACCCGCGAGCGCAACCCGTGGGGCCCTGAGCCGACGCATGACCGAGCCTAGGCCCCGACCGAGGTTTCACACTGACGGCACGCGAATGCGTGTGAGGGGAACGAGCTACACAAGCATAACCATGTGCGGCGCCAGCGAAGGGCGCATGCGACGACCGACACGGCGTTGCACGCCCAGACGCAACCTCAAGCGCCTTCCGATGGCAGACGACGCAGGGGGCCAGCTTCGGGATCTTGGGCGCCTTGGGGTTGGCGCCCTCGGTGCCGCAAACACTGCCGCCGTGCGCCGAAGCAGCCCGCTTGCGAGGACGGCCGCTCATGGTCGGCAGCAAGCCGCTGGAAGCGGGCGCCGTATCTTGTGCGAAAACTTGGCTGCGGGTCTGGGGACTGCCACCGTGACGCGAGAAGGCGAACCTTG